GCAGAATTCACTCAGCATTCACTTGGGCACCTCTGTCCTAAACGGTGAACAGAATCCACAGCAACTTCACAACAAACGATCAAGTTCTCTGCCATGTTATGATTAGCGTGAGGATAGAATCTTGAACAGTCATGCAAACGAGGCATAACTGTTTCTAGAAGTTCATTCACTATGGGAGCTGCAGCAACAAACATTAAATAGCAGATAGAGCAAGACAAGCCATTTCACCACTACCGCCATATTGATGATTTTTAGTTAAAGTAATTTTCATGGCAAGTATACGCGGCAGAAAAACCCACGTATACCCTGTCGTAATTTTGAAACGAATGGCCAACCATACTTTTTTTCTAACATATCTCACTAGACTCTATTGAAATAAATTAATTGTTACTTATCTTCAATAGCAAGATGATCTCAACAAGAGCTTAGTAGAGCTTTGATTACAGTACTTTCTGAGGAGGGGGAGAGTTATCATGAAGTCTTTATTATTATTATTATTATTATTATTATGATTATGATTATGATTATGATTATGATTATGATTATGATTATGATTATCATTAGTAGTATAGGTAATCACAGGGTTTCAAGTTCAATTTGGAATTAATTTGCACAAGTGAGTTTTTCAAAAAGTTGAAATTGCACAAGCCGCTTCAGTGAGTGCAATTTCAGCTTTTTGAAAAACTCACAAGTGCAAATTAATTCCAAATTGAATAAGAAAAACTGTATGATTACTTATTAATAATATAAACATGAAAAAATTTGCGCGGAGCAAGTGCCGGAAGACCTTTCTTGAAGCTATTTTTTCGTATTCGAGAAAACTTTTTTCAAAGTTTCCACACAAAATTTTCGTCATCATTTTATGTAATATCATTGGCTTGGAAAATTTCCTACTGTCTTTCAGCCAATCATAATCCAGAATTACGATGTGTAATTTGCACTGGTGTTATACTTTTTGCACCGGTTTTACACTTTTTGCACTGATGTTACACTTGAACTGCACTGCTCTCAGCCAATCAGAATCGAGTAATTTTTTCATGGATATTATTATTGTTATTATTATCATTATCATTATTATTATTATACAGGAGTAAAAACAAAATTCATGCTATGTGCATTTATTATTATTATTTTTATTATTATTACTATTAATCAAAATGTCAAGGTTGCCATCATTCAGATACATACATGTAGCAGAATAGAACCACAAATGTTGCATAATTTAATCCCCACAACTGCTACAAGTCACAAACAGTCTACTAAGGATCATGCTGATTTTGAATAAATCATTATCATTTTACCTCTCTTGTAAAAGTACACTTAGAACAAAGGTTGATAGGAAATTGTATTTGGCCATCTTGGTAGAGCATTTCTAAATTCCCTCTCGCCATTGTTGAAAGACGTCAGGTGCCAAACCTTTGATGTGAAAAGATACATTTGATAATTTGCACAAAAGTCATTTGTGAGCCAAACCTTTGATGTGAAAGATACATTTGTTTGGAGTCAAATTGTGATGAAAACAAAAACAACCAAAACGCTCAGAAGAAATGACTAGTATGACGTAATATTTACTATCCTCTGCTTATGACATTAATTTGTAGATGGAACATTATTATTTTCTGGGTCTCGAGATAACTGTGTGAGGCTTTGGGACACCACAAGAAAAACAAGTCTCAGTCAAAAGGAAGTGTCTAGAAATCTGGTGAGAATTGTTTTGTTCTTTAGGCATATGAAAGTTAGCACTTGACAGGGAAATGTAATAGAAGATACTAACAAAGTTTTTTTTTT